AAGTGAACATATAGGTTGAAGATCGACTCAGCTGAGCGTTTCGCGTTTTCATTTATGTAGCGCAATACCCAATTTCGCACAAAAACCAAACCTAAATCTACATTTAGGATGAAAAAGGTAGATTCATCACTCTTGGTAAGGTTACACCGAAGTATTATAGTTACACTGAAGTATTCAAAATAGCTCATGCACGTTTAAAGTGCCTATGTTATTGATTGTTAGTAGTCTCTTTTGCAATTTTTATCGCTGTGCCGTTTGTTTTCAGTCGCTCATGAACATCGCTTGCATGCAGGAGTAGTCGAAAATGCCGCTCGTATCAAACGCTCTTGACGATTACACATCGTTATAAAACCATTAAATAAAAAATAAACATAATAAATTCTTTATTATGTAGAAGTGTATAACTCTATTAATCATAATTTAAACAGTCGACTTCGGCGCTTGTCAAAAGTGAGAACCGGCTATAACCGTATAGGTGATTTTGGAAATTTTTTTAACGGTTTCGCTAAAAGCCCACACGTGCTTCGATCGTCCTGAATATTGAGTGAGTGCAATTTGTATTGCAAAATTGTGAAATACTGTATTCTGTCCGAGGTCTGTATGATAAAAACAGCGCCTCATGGTTCTGTTTCACCTCAGATGTGATGTATAAAAGTATAAAAGGTTGGGTTACACGTGCACGTCCCCAGACTTGTTGGCAAGATTTTGTAAAGTAAACTTGTCGAACAGAAAAAAATTCGGCCTGATTTGTTTTCCAAGAATTTGTTTTCCCGGCCTAATCTACTGTGATCAAGAGCCCGCGCTCTTAAATGTGATCGAAGATGATTGCTATTTTTTGGGTGTACATATAAGGCTATCAACTCGATGTAAGATTTAGTTCACTCTTAGCTTGGACTGTTTGCAAACTAGTTTTCTCTAAAATCACTTAACCTTTCCCTCAAAAGTCACATGAATGTGCTCTAAAGTTAACTGAACTGTGGAAAACAAGTTTATTGTTTGATTTAAATTATAAATTCGAGTTAATATATAGGAGCTTCGCTTTTAGCCCCGGCTAAATCTATATAAATTATTACGGAAAAATAGAGGACTGTGAACAGTCTAACAGCGAATATTATTCCGTCATAACCCGAATTTTTCTTCCTTTAGCAAGTAAATCATTTTTGGGGGGAGCCCCTACTAAAATCAAGGTATAAATTTACATGAACTCTGCCACTAGTACAATTTGTTAGTAACTGAAAATATAAGTCGTATAACTATCAATGTGCCACAGGCCTCATAGATCCAGACGCACCAGTCATGATCTCGTACTAATCTTCCCGACATAGCCATGCATGTCCTGCTATAAACTACTTCAAAGTCACCTTCTTCCGCACTTTCATTATCTGATCGGAATCTGTCTTGTACTTATATGGTTACTGTATGTCCTGTATCTTGTTGTTGGCCTAAGTTTTAATTCATTTTTAATCCTTGCAATCTATTGCAACTGAGACGACGAGAAATATTAGCAATTCCAAAATATAGTCTTAAATAACAAACTGGACCATTATTTTTGGAATTCAATTGGTGAATTCAATCAGTGTTTGCACCGATGGGAGAGACATAGTTTCGGCTTCTCGTGAGTGGTCCACTTCGAACTCGTAGTTCTTTTAAACGAATCCTTTACTATGATTTTAAAGCCTTGAGCGTAATTCAAAGTACTAAATGTTTTTTGTAGAATTGAGAAAGGTCGTGTAGGTTTTCCACCTGCGTTGTCAGAAGTTTTTTGTGCTTTGATACAATTTTGTCAACATCCTCTTTCTTGTCCCTCAATGTTACCTTTCTCGCAGACGTAACTTCTACGCGTATTTTAAAACCCTGATAAAGATATCCAAGGGCCATTAAGAAATGAAACTGCCGAAACTGTTTCAGAAAGACTGGTTTAAACACGAGCTTTTCTTTCAATTAAAAAAATTCTCAATAGTTAGAACTCCAACATCACTTACAAAAATGATTTCTCGTAAGTACAAATTCCATGTACTTAAAAGAAAGATTGCTGATTTCCTTGAACCCTCAGAATTTCTTTTTGGCCAGATCCAATGCTAAGAGTCACAGCTTTTTTATTTGAGTAGTAATGTTTAACTTGACGATCTTTTGGGTCCGAAAAACAGTATTTTCCTTTTCCGAACACAGAAATCTTGTTAATATTAGAAGACGAATTATTCGTTGAGTTGTCCACAACCAGCTCTTTGACTGACACTTTCTGCAGTTTGTCGGGTACTGTCCTGGTGCCTTTTGCATATGGAAATATCCGTTAATGTGCCACCGGGTCATCAGCGGGACACTGGAAAAATGTCAGCAAATAGCATTTCTTTTTGCAAAATTTTGTTGCTTTCATTAAAATTAATATAGTATCACTTCACTGTTAACTTTTTATTTATCAGTTAACTACTAAATTTTTGGCCAATTATCAGTTAACTACTGTTTTTTTGGCCAAATATCAGTTAACTGTTAACCCCATTCGCACCCTCTGTAATGTCTCCAGGTGATTAAAAGCAAAAGGCCGCGCGCGAGGACAACTCGAGACAAAAATATTGTTTTCGAAATGTAACCGCATTTATTAGCAGATTCTCCATGAACGGAACGCAACAGTATTGTTCTAAATAAATATCAAAAAGAAAAGGAAAAGCCTTCTTCTGAATAACTTTCCATTTTCCAGGACGTACTAAAAGTGCCGGAAATGGGAATTTTGCTACGCGTGTTTTATTTCTAACGAGAAAACAAATCTTTTGCTAATAAATGCCGAAAAATATAACTGGCAGAGGGTCTCCTACAAGTAAAATCACCTATTAAAAAAATATAATAAGACGCACATAAAGCTTTTATAGCTTGTATACCCCTTCATTTTCCAGTTATTTTGCAAGTGATTTCATAAAAAACCTTGGTGTCTAACTTACAAAATCGCGGGCGTTCCACCTAGTGTTTATGTTGCATGTTAAAACTCCCACTTAGGAGTTTAGAACACCATGACATTACAATAAAACTAATTTACTCAAGCTAAAACATATCAGACACCCTTAGTTTTCTTCTGTGCGCAAGTGATTTCATAATACCGCGGTGTCTAACACACAGAATCACGGGCGTGCCACCTAGTGTTTCTGTTGCTTTTGACTCGCACTTAGGAGTTTTAGAACACCGTGGTATTACAATACAACTCGATCACCCGTGCTAGAACGTATAGCCCTCAAATTTCCACTTGGTGCGTGATTCACTGCGGACACTGCAGTTTAGCAAGCTCACGCCAAAAAATTCTTTGAATCTGCTCACACAAAGCCTAGGAGATCAATGATTGCAATTTTCTTTGGCATCCATCTTTCCTTTACGATGAGTAGTATGCTGTGTGTTCACGGACTCTCGACAGGGGGTTTACATAGTAAATAATTTGAATCAACGCTTTTATCTAGCAACTTTCGTCCGATTGTATTTGAGTTCTGCGACCTTCAATACAGTCAATACAATATGGAACTACGCTACATTTTGATACTGGCAAAGACCAGAAAGACAACGCTTGAAGAGTCGTAGGTTACGTACGATTCTGGATAACTCGTGAACTGAAATGCAATCTCTTCTCTAATTACTCTATCGCCAGATGCCGCCTTAATCTTGTTAGAAAATGTGACGCCTTATCGAATAACTGACAACTGATCATTGGACCAAACGGTGAAGAAACTAATTGCTTCTCGCAGTAGGAAGTTTATTGCTTGTCACTCAAGACCTATAGCGTCTTTAACAGCGCTCGCGTCAAAAAAAAAGTCGTATGCGGGTCCTCCTGACCAATCACAATGCACGTTCCCACGCTTTGTGACTGGTTTCCGCTTCTGCTTCCGACTCCGATAACCTGGTTTTCACTAGATCATGAGCGGAGCGTAAGTGATGGAGGCGTAAGCGGAATTGGAACGTTGTTTTCACTAGATCATAAGCGCTACGCTTCTGATTACGACTCCGACTCCGACTCCGACTCCGACTCCGTCGCTAGTAGTGTAAACCAGCCTTTAGAATAGCGCTGCGCGCCGTTACTATTTATAGACCCGAAACTCAGACAAACAAGCGAATTCCTCACTTTTGTCACAGGGTCCAGAGGAGATGTGTTTGTCGTAAGGACATCAGAACCCGTCGAAAACCTCTGAAAAAATGGGTTATTTTGATCGCGTTACAGTTTCGTTACACATTCTATAGACCGCAAACCAAGAGACTGAGGGCTCGCAAGATCGGCGCCGTGCACCAGCGAGGATATGGCTTGCGGTTATTGATTTTCAAAAGTCGATCCGGGTCAGATAAGAAGCGAAGAAATCGCTTACAGTAGATTTATAAAGATCCCATTGGGCCAATTAATCGTGCTAAGCGACAGGTATTGACATTTGTCAAGGTGAGACTTTAAATAAGTAATTCATTTATTCACACGAAACTCCTCTGGACCCTGTGCTTTTGTCTGATTTTGTCATTAAAATGTCATGTTTTTCTGTCTTTTGTCATTAAAATGAAAAAATGACCAAACTCAAACAAAAATTGCAAACTAAAGTTAAGTCACTTTGACTTAGCTTCATTCGCGCTACGCTATATTACATGACAACCAAGAAGAAAATTTCAGTTCAAAACAAGTTGTCGAGTGGCAATGCTACTTCACACTTCAACTGACGCGACAATAAAAGCCGAGAGTCGTCTTCAGACAACCATTTCACGAGCAGCAACTACCAAGAAGGTACACCGCTAAAAGATTCGTTAGAACGCTACAACATGGCAACAGGATGTGCAGACTTTATTTCTGTGGTGGAACTATTATCACCATGGAAGAGGAGAATCCTTCTGCAGAGGCTTTGGCTGTTAAAGGAACATTTATTTTAGCAGTGGGGAAGCGTGATGAAGTGTTTGCTTTAGCAGGGCCATTGACGGCATAGTTCGTGCATCTTAACGATCGGCAGACCCTTTTACCTGGTTTTATTGAGCCCCATTCTCACGCTATTACGATGGCAATCCTAAAATCGGTAAGTGAGTTTAAAAGTTTCTTTAAATTTTTTAGTTTTTAGTCTTGTTATATTACTTCGTGCACCCACACAGATTTTCATTAAGGCAATATTGTTCACTGTCAGGGGCTGCTCCTGTCATTGTCGAGCTTTCAAAATGTCAGCTGATTTATCAGCTACCAGTTCCTATTGGAAAGTGCTCCCGTGTAAGTCCACAGGTATGGAATATTTTGGGTAATGATTTTCTTCCCAAACCCATTTTTTAGAATAGAATTTCCAACCGAAATGTTTCGATAAAAATTAGCTGAAAAATGTGTGACTTTAATCTTTACGATAGGACTTTTTCCTGCCATATAAGAAAGTGCCCATCCCTTCGGAACAGTGGAACACTTTGATCAAACTATGATTTATGATTGTTTTTACTTTATGCTTTCAAACTACTTTACGCTTCTGACCAAACTATGATTTATAGTTGTTTAATAATTACCTCACGTTTCGTTGAATACAACATATTATTTCCACGTGTGATTAGATAACACACCTGATATTTCATTGGTGTTTTCAATAAATCTGTTTAAAAAAGATGTTGAAATTAAAAACCGTTCTTACATAAAAAAGCTTTCAACCCGTCGCTTCTTAGTCTCCACTCGAAAATTTAACGATCACCGGAAAAACGTCTGCGTTAGCAGTCTGATTAACATAGATTTCACATAAAAAAATCGACTTTTGTTAACCAGTTTTTATGTTGTATTTTACATCTCTACCTTTTTTGTTATTTATACACAAGCGTGGGCAAAGGTGTCAGAAAAAGTTAAATAGGTGGGTTAAACAGCAGCAACACGTCTCAGTTCACGTTCCATGCGAGTGCTACCGGCCTAATGAGCTTCACGCAAGCATAGATTTCGTGGCCGGATGATCGAGTGATTAGTAGGAAAACCTCAAATACACTCTCAGGTTCCTTCTAACGCCAATTTAATTTCACGATTCGATAATGATTTTTTGTTTTGTAACTTTAAGTGTTCACATGATCCAATGAAATTGGGCCTTGACTTTCTTACGATTGGTTTGAACGTTCGTAACACATAGTTTCAGCTTTAAATTTAGTTCATTTAACACAGCAAACACGGTGGTTGCTTCAAAGAACATTAAAATCCCGGGCTTCGTGCTCTGAATTAGAAGGTACACGAAAAACATTTATCGGTTTTTCCTGACACCGGTGACGTTGCAAACATCGGGCTCCATTGAATATTTAATTTTCTAATGGTTGATAGTTCGCTCATTTCTCAGCACTTTAGTAATAGGCTAACAGGTGCATTTTATGACATTGAAAAATTCGAAAAAACGCTCTGGCTTTGTGATCTATTCATAGTTTAAGACAGGGCATTTACAGGCAAATTACAGCAGTTAAAACGGATGCAAAGTTTTGAAATATCTAAAAACAGGTTTGTGCAAGAGGAGGTTTTGTGAATAGAAGATATTCGAAAGGGGTACCTTTTCTCTCAAAAATGGTATCTAAATGCGTAAGGAGTTGGACCACGGGCAAAGCCTCGCCGTATAAAACTCTGTTCAGTACCCTGCTGGAGTCAAGTATGAATATTGATATTATCGAAATAGATCTATTCACTCAGATGCCACCACGTGAAAACGTGGCTATCACGTTTACTGAATTGACTCGTCTTTGTTAATGGAACACTCGAATTCTTCAACATTATGTTATTACTTTGCAGAAACTTACCGGCAGAGATTTGTTTGTCAAGATTGATTGGTACGACAATGCTTCCTACGAAGAGGTCCAAGAGAAGATGGAAGCAACAATCAAATTACTCGACCCAGAATCCGATCCTCTACCCTGGGCCCTGTTCTTTGGTTGGGATTCTGAGCTCATTCCAGACTTGCCACGGCTATCTAAGGACGTCCTCGATTAGTTTTCCACTGAAATTCCGATTTGTGTGATAGGACAAAGCGGTCACGTAGCCTGGGTGAATCAAAAGGCTTTTGACGTAAGTTAATTGACTGTTGGGAATAGTTAAATCTTGCTTTTATATCACTCGTTCCAGATAGACTATATTAGTTATCTTTTATAGAAGATGCTTTAACTGCCAGATTAAATACTAACGATCTAATAGGGGTCAATGATTAATTATCCACATGGGCTGGCTACACTTTGATTGCAAACACGTTATTAGCCCTCTGGCTGCTTGCTTAAAACCATGGCATAAACCATCGACGATGAAACCGAGCGGCTGTGTAGCCGGTATTGGTTATACACTATTTATTTATTTAATTCTCAAGCATGTTAAGGCATGGCTTAATTTTGAGTCTCGACCCCCCGTTCTACGGCCATGCATTTTAATTCTAAAAGTTCCAAAGAAACTTTTGAGAACTTTCTTTTGAGGCATTGAATTAATCAGGGTTGAATAGATGTAGTCACGTAAAACGTGACGTCATAATGATATTCAAAACGAAATTCTAAATGGGGTAGGAGTGGTTGATTACAACTAAGTTTGAACCATTTGTAAATGTTTGTTTTACCGCACAAATTTTTTCCGTGGCCGGAACGGAGAGAATTTTTAATCTCTTAAAAAGATATTAAAAGGTGAAAAGTGTCAAGTGACCTAATTTGCTTAATTACTAATGAAATAAAAACGTGAGTCAATCATTCCGGCCAGATTCAAGCGAGAAATGATGATACAATGACAAAAATACTGTATTTAATATACAGGGTGTTTCAAATGTTCGTTCCGATTGTCTCTTCACTTAAATCTCGATGATTATTAAAAATACAGTTTGTAAAACTTAAGTATGTTATTTATTATTCATTTAACTTTGAATATCTGAAATATTAGTAACCAAACGTCTTCCTTTATGTTTTCTGACATTTTCTAAGTGGTAAGGTATAGTGTGCCTAAAAAAAACATTTTTCCAGAAGAAGCGTAGTCACTATCTTAGCTCGTCCAGTGTTTTTGGGGCTGGATCTTTGTATGTCTCATCAACGATATTCCAGATGGTCTCTAGAGGGTTCACATCATGTGAGTTTGTCAGCCGTTCGCCCTTTGCGATAAATTTTGCAAATCCATCTAAAACCATGGCCGCATGTGAGCCACCTTTTTCACTTCAAGGCTTTCCGACCTTTTTTGGTCATATAGATCTTCATACTGTTGTGCTCGAAACTTTGATATTGTAAGTTGAATTATTTTACCTTTCTGTGTTATAGAATTATTGCGCATATACTTACAGCTTTTACGATAACGTGTCTCAAACTTAAAAAAAAAAAAAAACATCCATCCACTCATTGGCGTGTCTTCTAAAGTCTTAACTTTCGACCACCTGTTCACTTACATCGTTCAGACTTCTTCAACAGTTTACCAATTTCTTGGACTGAATGGCCAGAAGACCGTAAACTCGAACAGATGTCAGGGGTCTAGAGCTCTATAGCACAAATATTGTAGGCCTTCACTTTCGTGAAGTAGTAGAAAAAATAAAAGAAAGCGGCAAGAAACGAAAAGTGGAAACCTACAAAATGGGCAGGAAAAATATCATGGCGGGAAAAAACTTGCATACATGCACATCTGAGGCAAATCTTCCAAAATATTATAATTTCTTCAAATTCTAGTTTGAAATTGATTTGAAAGGTTATTTAGATAGATTTTTTCCCTGATTCAGTTTACATTAGCGTAAAGAAGTATTAACTGCTTTGCGAAAAATACAATGTATAATCGGGACGAACTTTTGAAACACCCTGTATACTGTGTCGCATCTCGCCACCCTATTTTTAGTTTTCTTTTCTTTCCTGGACTCGACCAAAAGTGGTCACGTGACACAGATATCTGATTTCTTACGTTACAGGAAAATTAAGGTTACCAATTTTTCCGAGGTTACCAAATTTTCGAAAGTTCTGATAAATTATCACAAAGTTATGATCATTGTAAGGTTTTATGCAAATTAGCCTCAGGCCATGCGTTAACATGCTTGAATTAATTACTTCCACCATATCATATGGTGCGGAATACACAATAGAGCGAGGCTCCAATTTAAGTGTATCCTTACAGGTAACCCACCAAGCCCAGGAGAGGTTGACTACACCACCGGGGTCTACGTACCCTACTCTTTTCGAATAGTGGTGTGGGTTCTTTTACTTCCCACAAGAACAAATCACCTGATAAATCCACAACAGTTGAGCTAAATCGTGTCGTACACTTTTTTTTTTTATTATGAATCGACGGCTTTGTCCATGGTCAATGTCAGAGAGAGTATTGACAGAGAACACACATGCATACAGGCAAAAATATCGCCAAGGAAAACTAAAGACGAACTTACAAAATACCAAAACGAGCAAAAATTAATGTCCAACTCTTTGTTAAATTGGAATTTGTTGAACCTTGTAGGCATTTATCCACCTGAACAATCACTCCATATAATGGGAATCCAAGAATGTGGATTTCGGATTGAACTTGAATTCCGGATTCTAATCGTTGGCTGGATTCCAAATTCGTTAAGCTGAATCCTGGACTCCAAAGCCTAGGATTTTGGATTCCGCAAGCAAAAATATCTGGGATTCCGCAATCCGACTCCCTAAAATGGGGCGATAAGGAACTCGTGAACGTGAAGGATAATATAAAGAGCCCATTTTTGAAAAAAAATCATGCGAGAAAAAATTTTACATACCGGTAGCAAAAAAGCCATAAGATTCCGTCCTGTGCTGTTTAAGCGGTTTCTTAAATCGATTTTTATTATCGATTGAAGACACACAATTTGCCCCACTTAAGGTATTCCAGATTTTGAAATCATAGAAAATTTTGCTTGCCCAATCCGGAATCCAAGAAGGTTTTTGCATATGGAATCTGGACAACCTGGGCTTTGGAATCCAGAATACCACTAACAACTGGAATTGAATCCGGAATCTGTTGGAAATCGGAATCGGAATCTAGAATCCAAGACCGTTTTGGATTGCCTGTTTACATGGGGCGACACAATGGCAAGATATAATTCATTTTGACCTGTTTGAATTTTCACCCCCAGTAATTGTGGTCCTCGCAGCAGTATTAACATTAGTTTTGGCTCCTTTGCTTTGCTCCTTTGCAGGAGCCTAATATATAGATTTAGCCAGGGCTAAAAGCGAAGCTCTGGTTAATGATACGTGTAAACAAAAAAAATTAAATCGTGTAATGCTAAACGCGGACGACAATGAATATGGCTTCAAGACTAATAGATGTAATTAGCAAAAAAAAAAACAAATTGCACGTGCAGCACACTTTTTCTTCTAATTAGCAAAAAAAAAATTTGCACGTAGCACGCTTTTTTGTCTTTCCCTTGTTGTTGTTTTGCACGACTACAACGCTGTTTTGTACGGCTAAAACGTCAAACTTCCTAGTTACACATTTTTTTCATGGAGGAATTGTCGTATGTGCTTACCCAATATTTTGTCTCCTGTGTTCATGTTCGCTTTTATTTTTCATTGCCGCTCATTTTCACCTTGCTGGTCGCTAGCATTTCTCATTTTCTCACCGCCGCTTTGAATTTCCATGTTTTCTTCCTAAGAAATTCGTCTTCTTTGTTTTCAATAACTCTCCCTAGCTCTTTCACTGTTGTCCACGTTAATGTAAACATAAAAAATAACGCCGGGAAAGACATGACTATGTTGTTGTTTTTTGTTCTAAATAAAACCTTGAGTCGCATTTGGGTTGCCATACCTGTTGATTGAGTTATTTTACATTGGTATGCCCGTGGTGGGGACGGACGGTCGCTCGCTCGCTCGCTCGCTCGGTGTACGGTCACGTGATTACCAAATTTTCTTGGATGGGTAGTTTACCACATTTTCTTACCCATGGTGCTCCGCTGCGCGCTTCGCGCGCGAGAGCTCCGCTATTATCTATTGGGCTCCTGTCCTTTACCATTGCTCCTTTCAGATTGCTGGATACGCAGCGAAAATTTACCTGGCTTTGTCTTTCTTTGTGGCCCATCTGTACTTCTACGGTACATCGTACACCAAAAAGATCTTTGGACCAGAGCGCACAAACCGCTGGACACCCCTCTCGGCGGCAACCAAGGCTGGCCTTCGTTGAAGTATTCACCAGGACCACGCAACCTTTCCAGGCCCCCTGCTTCCCTTTGCGAATATCAAGACGGCGGTGACTCGCACACAGAGAGGTGACAAAGAGAAGCTGTACGGACCAGAATATTGCGTTACAATTCACGAGGCAATGAAGGCGGTTACCATTGACGCAGCTTGGCAGCTTCACAAAGATGACTGTTTGGGCAGCTTAAAAGAAGGCAAAAAGGCTGATCTTATCATTGTCTCAGATAATCCATACACGGTAATAATAGTGGACAAACTCAAAGTGCTGTGTCCCGGCTGTTTGGTTGATTTTGTTCATAATGCCATCCAGTTGCGGGTCCTTATTCGCTATAGAATGTGAGAAATAACTTGTGAATAACAAAAATGACAGCTTCTTGTCAAATAAAAAGGTCTCCCAAGCAATATATCAAACGTTACAAACGACAAAAATAAACTCTGAAAAACTGTTAGGTTAACAAGTTTTCAAAAACCACAATTGCAATCCGTCTTAATATTTTTTAAATGTGCCCATCCGTGCCTTCTTTTTTATTTGCTGTGTTATTTGTACCTTCTTTTAACGCTTTGAGCGGCTATTTTTATGTTTCACTCATTTTGGTGGTGGTTCCCACTGTTTTAAGCTGTCGGAGCAGTCTCTCGTTTTCTTACGATTTAGTGAGGGGAGTGTGCGCGAGCGTAAGCTCGTAGTTTACACTGATTGAATTTTATGTAAATTTCGTGACACACCTCCTTTAATGTGCAACAGAGAATCACACCACAACCTTTCCGATGACACTCGGACGCTTTACTTCAATCTCAGCATATAACACCGGAGCTTGCTTATTCCAGTACCTCACGTATAAGCTGAAGAGA